CCAATCTTCAAAGCAGTTATGAGCAAAATCTGTTGGCACAAACCACTGCCTTTGGGTCCATTTGTGAGCTTCCTTCATAGTTCAACCAGTGAAGATTTTCTGATGAAGACTGACTCATTGCTGCCAATAGAAGTAGAAAACAAAGTTCTGATGAGTAATTGTTTGGGGGGGTGGTGAGGATCAAGAAACAACAGAGAAATTTATATAAAACTGCACTTTTATGATTTCTGTATCATGATATTTGGACGTTATTATTTTTATTGTTGTTGTTGTTGTTTTTGAGACAGTTTCTCTGTGTAGCTTTCAAGCCTGTCCTGGTACTGACTTTGTAAGCCAGTTCAGCCTCAAATTCACAGAGATCCACCTGCGTCTGCCAGATTGCTGTGATTAAAGGCTTGCACCACTATTGCCTAGCTAGAAGTAAATTTCAACACTTTTTTTACAATTTCAACAAAATAATAAAAAAGAACCAAAGTTTTAAATGGTAAACACAATAGTTATTGTTTTCCTAAGTGATTCAATGCACTATGCTAAAAGTAACAATGATAGTAGAACAAGAAACTATGATCAAACCATGAAATCTGTGGCATATTTTAGCAGGATATTTACATATCTATGCATTTGTTCACTCATTTTTTATGGGGCTTTCCATAAAAAATAGTAGTTGCAAATAAATGTCAAATTCTACAGTTTGGAAATGAAAAACCATTCCTTCTTTACTTTCCCTGGGAAAACTTAGGATACAGTTTGTGTTGTAGCCTAAGAGGAGCCCATGATTTATGGCTCTAAACAGATTCTGTCTTCTGTGTTCTGTTTGTCATGTATTCTATATTGAACTTAATTGCCAGCCTTAAAGATAATAAAAGTCAAGAGTTTTCTTGTATTCAGGGAATTGTTCCAGAAACATCTCAGGAGAATTTTGCTCAGGGAATTTCTCTGAAGGCATTTAAACCTGAAACTTTCAAGGAGAAAAACCAAATCTGTGATTGCCTGAATAAAGTCAGCTTTATTTAATACTTGCCAGGAAGATGGACACTAGCCAGGTCCATACCCCAGATTCTCAGTGAATGGCTCTGAATCAGGTTATTCAGGTGCTCATAAATGCAAAATCCACAAGGCTGAGATATTTCCTGCTTACATCCTATCAGGGGCAAGTGTACACCCTTACATATTTTCTGCCTATGTATATCCTGCTTATGTGTTATCAAGCATATCCTACACGGTTTGGGGCAACAAACCATTTTTACTGAAGTGAATACAGGTGACTTGTTATTTCACATTAAGAGCTCCCAGAATTCCATGAAGCTATTTATCCTTGGTCAAGTGGGACTTTATAGTTTAGCTTTAGTTCTCACAAGACAACCCTTTTAAGAGGCTCTTATGGATGCCTTCACCAGTCTCTCTCATGGCATCTAATTCCCTTACTTGCCCTATGTCTTTCAATCTCACTCTTAATGAAGAAGACGCTCCCTCCCATATTTTAAAAGCAAATTTCTCCTCCTTTTAAAGGTCTATCATGTTTAGATCTTCATATGTTCCATTTGTTTCTCCCTAATCCTCTTTTTCCTGCACTGAGATATGAAGGGCATTTTGATTCAACTTTCTTTCCAGACAAATTTTTAGTTTTACCTTTAGGTTTACATTCTTTGTTGTATGTATATGTGGGAGGTGGTTTACAGGAGGCACTTACCTGTCATGTTGTGTTTGTATGCACATGTATTATAAGACAAATTGCCAAGTAGGTTTTATCCTTCCACCATATGTATACTTAGCATCAAACTTGTTATAAGGCTTAGCAATAAAGGTCGTTACTTACTGAACCATATCAATAGTCCTGTGGGCATTTGTATGATACATTTCCATTACTGTGGAATCAGGTTTGCCCTCCACTACTGACACACCTCTTCCAATCCCATACCCCTTCATCCTTACCAAATAGTTTAAAATGTAAACAAAGTATTCAAATACATTAAATTATGGAGGTCATTCTCATTCAAACCAGTACACTAAGAGAAAATAACATAACAAAAAGAACAATGTAGTGTAAAGGTTCTTTGTCCCGGCCGGACCTTTGGCCGTTGAGCCCCAAATGAACACACAAATGATTATATTAATTATGCAACTCTTGGCCATTGGCTAGGGTTTCTTACTGCCTAGCACTGTCTTAATTGTTAACCCATTTCTATTAATCTAAGTATTTTCACATGGTCTTATCTTACCAGAGCAGGGTCCAGACATCTTATTCCATTTCTGTCTATATGGCGATTTCTAAGTGTCTTTGCAGAGAAGAGAGTGATTTCCTCTTTGTCCCTTCCTATTTTCTGATTCTGCCCACCTAAATCACTTCCTGTCTATCCATACAGACCTCCAGACCTCTATGGCTAGCTAGCAGCAAGTTTCTGCCCAGCTACGTCACTTCCTATCTGACCCATCAGCCAATCAGTGTTTTAGTCATTAACAAATAAGAAAAACATATATATAGAAGAACATTCCCCTTCAGAACACTTTGATTTTTTTATTTTGTTTTGTTTTGTTATGGTTTGGTTTCATTAATTTGGTTTATGATTCCAGAGGGATAAGACTCCATATCTTAAAGAAGACATTGTAGCAGGAGTGCTGAAAAATCATATCTTTAATTACAATTGGGAATCAGATGGAGAAATTAGTATTGGGGTGATGCTATGTATTCTCTACCCCAAGCTCCAGTGACAAAATTCCTCCAGAAAAGCTGTACCAGCTCACAAAAGATTGCCAACAAACTGGTGATCAAGTATTCAAATAATTGAGCATATCTGGGCGGCATTCTCATTAAAACTGCCATGTATGTCTTTTGCAATGGAGGCTGTCAATTCATATCATGGTAGAAAGTGAAAACAAGAACTTCAGAAAAAGAGTGAGAAGGCTCAGTTCATTAAGGAGCACATTTAGGCTTTTTTCACTATTCAAAATAAAAAGAGATAGGAAAGAATGAAAAATAAAAGTTAGGTCTCAGAAAAGCAGGAAGCCTGCATGACAGACCCTCTTCAGTGTTATCTTATGGGATTCCATGCAGTGGTTACTGCAAGCAGCTGCAATGAGAAGGGTCTTCTGGAAAGCACATTGCCTCATTAAGGGGATAGTTATTCCTCCCTTCTCCTTAGCATATCTTCTGGTGAATCAGATTTCCTGGGCATGGGGGAGCTCCTGGCCAGGTGATAGAAAATTCTAGGTAGATTAACACTTAAAAGAATGAAATTATAGTATGAAATGCAATGCTTTTGTTTGTTTGGAATGGCAGGTCTGTATTCAAGCAGAGAAGCCGAGCTCCATTTCTATGCTTTTAACAAAGAAGAACTGGCTTGCCTTCATTGGCCACAGCAAATCCCAGATATCTCCTTCTTTTTATATGGTAATTAAAATTCTCAGATGTGTCAAAGTTGATGTTTAGATTTCTATTTTTACCTGGGAAATCAATAGTGGAATTCAAAGTCTCTGAAGCCTTTAAGGATATAGCAATACATCAAGGCAACAAAAGTTAAAACAATAGTATATGAAAGAAAACTCATTTGTTGTTTTTATATTTGTTAATGTCAAACACTGAAAAGCAAAAGTAGATAGAATTAAAATATGTTTTTATAAACTCTATATGGAATTCCCAAAGTATGCTGTAACTTTCTAAAATATAGAAGTTTTATGAGTTGTGCTTTAACCTAACTTTTTATTACCTAAACAGTGTTATCAATATCATAGAAAATAAAATTGAGATAATAAAATTACTTATCAGT